TTGACGTTATGAGAGATAATGGATTTAAAAATTTAGCAAAAGCTTTATTTGATGCTGGTCGAGCCACCAGTACAGCATGAACTGAAATAACAAATATTCTTCCACACCCGATATATTTCATGAATAAAGTTATTTCTAAATAAGAGTCGAACTATTTGATTGTTGCACTCATATAACTCAGATATTAACCCAGAAAGTACCCTTTTCAATAATTCCTACTCCGACTCCTTTGGACTCAGGATCGAATTCCGGAGTCCGATGTAGTTCACTATTCCGACTCCGACTACGAAAAATTTTGTATTTGCGATTTCGACTCCGCCTTTGACGGAATCGGGTTTCGGAACTTGATACAGTTCACTACTCATCAACATTCACGCCCACAATGACACCCACATATAGGAGTATATCCAAGACGATTTTTTTACCCAATGACCCCCACCTAAATTATTAATATTTGATAGAGAATTAAATTCTGCCTCTAACACACTCGACTAGAAAGTTAACACAACTCGTGTAGCGAATTCGGATAATGTTGACACCCGAGATCTGATGCTGGACCCAATATATAGGGTATAACTCTCCCTTTTTACCCGATAACACCCCTTGAAAATAGTACCATTGGATAGAGAATTAAATTCTGCACCTAGCACAACTACTTAGAGAGCTAACACGGGTAAGAAAACGAATCGGGACAAGAAATACTCGAACCTGGTGCCAACTTCACTTATGTGGTACACAAAACATTTGGAAATACGTCGTATAGCATTTTTTAAAATCGCATTAGCTTGCCTTTTTGGTATTTTGGATATATGTTGTTGTTGATATTTATCGAAATTCCGTTTTGCATAATGTGCTTGTGAGCGTGTGTAAAAATTTCGTTTGGCACAGGACTTTGTTATACTAGCTATTATATGATTCAAATTTGTAAGGAACTCAATAAATTATTTAAAAAAATGAATTGATTTTTGTTCTAGTTATCATGGCTTTCGAGTACATTTTTAGAAAGTATGGGTGTAGATCTGGATTGTTTTGAAGATGAGACGTGCACGCATACCCATACCCACACACCATAGTAGCTTCAATGCTACCTACTATATCGATTCAAATCTTGAAAATCGATTTTGTTGCATGGCTGTCTATTGTGAAATGTACACAAGATGATACTTAATTGGTTTTGTGCTTCGAATCTTCAACTGAAATATATTACATTCAACAGTTATTGCACGAATATGAAAACTATAGTACAATCACTATTGCTTTCAGAACTTAATATCAATAGTTATCATGCATTTTCATTTTCAATTCGATATTACGAGCAAGATATGATAAAATTCCTTGGATTCTTTAATAGTACAAGAGAAATCACTCGCGGAGCATTAGATAAGTGCTATCGATTATAAGTGATAGTTATGGTTTCAATATTTATTCGTATTAGTGGTGTCGATTTTTTTTCTATATATCACAGGCACAATTAAACTTAGACAAAATTCATTTTTAATTAGGCGCAAAACTATAAAAGGATTTCTTTTTATTTAAAAATAAATTTCAATTTTCATTCGTATGAATAAAATGTAGCACGTAACTACTTTTCTTACTAGACAAAGCATTGATTTTCACTTATTTATACTGTAATATATGTATATATCAATGAGTTCTTCTGCGTCGATATTTGAATACGGTTTTCAAAGTTATCTTTATGAACAAGCAAAAGTAATATTTTAAAGTTTTGAACTATTCCATTTTAAGATAAGGCAGCTATTGTTCTATCACAGGAAATATTTCAATTGAAACATCATTCATTTCTTCTGCTTGGTATAGAACTCCACAAAACTTAAGATAATCACATGTTTATACTTTACATTATCATTCCTGAACTATGTAAAATTTGTATACAAATAAACATCGATCCAAGATACTACTCAAAAAGGATAAACTTGAAGATCTTATTTTTTTATTGAAGCTTGCTACAACAATCTAAATTTAAATTGAGAACACTCGCAAATTCTACAACATTCTAGATTTTGTTAGATTTCTATTAAAGTTGAAAATAAGTGAATATAGACATATAAGATCAGCTCTTTATTCTCATTTTTTCCGATTTTTTTAAAAATTTTTAAATATTTTAAAAACTTTGTTTATATTCGCGTAAATCTCACCTTTGCCTGATACAAATAGATACATATAATGTATTTTATTTAAAAGTTTCAATTGCTTTTAAATGAATAAGAACATTATAAATCAGTTAGACAAATAGATTCAAGTCGAACATTCGGATAAAATTGAATAAAATTTATTTAAATGAACAAAACAAGTCTCTCCAATCCAATCTTATTTATAAAACGCCAAATATATACACAATAGTGAAGCATCCGAAATATTTACCTACAAAATGTCGACATCAAATTTTTAAAAATATTCCTTTATCATTACTAAAAGCACAGTTTCCTTGAAAATTTATTTTCCCAAAAGGTAATCAACTTTGAATCTCACAAATCATGTTTAATATAATGACATTTTGAAATTTGAAGTGCTTTATAATTGTAAATTCCTGGATATCATTAAACGAAGATTAAATATTGATGAAATCAACAACAGTGGCGTTTTATTTTATCACTTGAAACTTTCCTTCGATACAATATGTTCGATTGATAAAAACTTTCCTTCCTTGCTCCTTGTTGGTAAAGAGATTTATTGATCAATCACTGACAATAGATAATAAGTTGCAATATTATTATGTCTGAAGAGGATAATGTATAAACACATGAAGAACTTTTTGAAAAATATTGTCTGATATTTCAAGTGGTTCAACTGCAGAATAACTCACTCGATGGAAAACATAAACATCCTTATTCCCAGTAAATAGTTTATGAAACTATTCACAATCATTCTTAGTTAAACATTATTGACTCTTCTATGATATTTTCAACACATGTTGAAGAATATACTTGATCTGTAGAAATGATCAATCAGTAACAGATAATGAAATAAGAGACAATAAGTATTAAATCTGCAATACCCACACCCATCTAGCTATTCATCATTATATGTTCTTAAGTCGTTGATTAATATTCATTTAATACTCTCATGCCAATTTTTACACGTCATCATTCACATATTAATATGATTAGTGTCAATCAATTGTTGTCAAATGTCACTTGATAGTTCATCACCAACTAAATCACAAATATCTTAGAAATAAAATTAGAAAAGTAAACAAAGAAGAGTTGCATTTTCCTACATACATGACTCAGAAATAGTTTTTTCATTAAATGCATTCGTTGTAATAAATGTAATACAAAGTTATCTTTAACGATTAGCTAAGCCATATATAATTCTATCCTCAATTTCTTTTCACGTTAAATATAAGTATTTGAATATAAGGTTTTTAATCATTTTTGTATGATCATTTTGTATACGATGAAGACTTTCATAGGTTTTCATACACTTTAGTTGAACAAATAAATCAAGACTATTTTCATGATGAAATTCAAACAATGATATCCAATATGGAATAATATTCTTCTAAATAGATAAAAATACATTTTTTATAAACTTTATTGTATCTTCAAGAAACAGATTTTTCAAGCTATTTTCTCATTGAATTATATTCGATGAATGAATTTGATGCTAGAAAAATAAAAGAGGATTCTGTAATTAGTTCGACAACAACTATTACCTTGTCATTATTAAAAACATAATTTCGTATAATTATATTTTTGACCAACATTAAGAAATTTGTGACGAAGATATTCTTTTCAATTAAACTTAGTACATTCATCTTCTTACAGAAAGCCGCCTCTCTTTGTTTATAGCTAAGACAGCTATAAATCGTTGATGGAATTATCTTAGTAATAAATTTCGCAATGGCTACTTCACATTTTCTTTCTGACTTCGATTATTTGATTAATTAAAATATAACTTTTCCGATCTACAGTGACGAAAAAGAAGCCCCGATTCCAATATAGTATGGTTATCTTTTTCGAGAAAAGCATTTCATATTCAATCGTCTAAACGATTTTTTATTTTTTAGAATATATCGATTTATCCATCAATCGACATTGGAATAGTTTCCTTTACTTTCAATTTGCTTAAAAATCATTATTTTACACACGATATATCAGTTTAGTTATGACATTCATAAATATGGCGCTTAAAAAGTTGTGATAGTTTGTAGTAATAATATATCACAACGTACCATAGTTTTTGAATAAATTCGTCAATTTATAGATGAACAACTAGTTGTTGATTAAGTTTCTCGATGTAAATGTTATAGCGTTGAATCAATGAAAGTATACGAAACTTTCATATAGAACAAGTTTTAATCATTTGTAATTGATCATGTTAAATATTATACATTGTACATTTGAAATATGAATAGTATTTGCTACTTTCTGAGTTACAAATCGACTATCTTCAATTATTTGACTTCTCATATTTTTAATAATGATGTTATTCATACCAAAGATCATCATTACTGTATGATTATTCATTTTTCGAACGGTGATTCTATTAAGAAGTCATACCGAGTGATAGAGTACTATTTTATCATAGACGATCGTCATGCTGTGATAAATATGAGATATAATGCATAGTCTTTTCAAAATAAAGAAATGTTATCACTGAGTGATATTCGAATTTTCTAATTTTGTGTCAGTGGGTATCGAGTGAATAGAAAGTAATATAGCAAAATTTATTTATTAATAAAAGTCTATATGAACTATGCGCAAACGTCAATATTAACACAATAGTGCTTCTTATTCATTTTATATAAAATCATTTCAAGACTGCTTGAATTGACCTTCGTAGTTGATCTATGAAGATCAACATAATGGTCTTAATCATTTATAAAAAAGAATTTAATGAAAATTTTGTCGACATACTAAAGAAGCAGTTGTTTGCCTTCCTTTGTCTGTTTGTGTAATGCTTCAATAGATTTTAATGTTAAGAACAGCTGGTGCCATTAGTATAGAAACGGAAGACTAAAAACAACAAGAAGCAAAATGTCGTGGAATGAAACAAATACTACTGCAAACACAACAACTACTGGGGGTAAGTTATATCGTTAATCATAAAACTATTATGGATGAAAGAGATCCATCAAATTAGAATGTGTAGAAAATATGAAGCAAAATGGATTTGGAATAAAAGAGAAAATTGAATTTTACTATTGAAATTTGAGTCATTGTTTTAAATTTATGTAAAACCAAGTTTATTTTACTTTTTGCTAAATTTTATCCATAAGACCTGACACAGATTCGATAAAAATTATCTAAATCGACGCTCTATTCAGTCATGCATGAAAACAAAGAAAAGTTCACTGTAAAATGAGTCCAAAATTTCTAGGGAAACAAATTTTTTTGGTTGCTTTTCGAAGTTTATCAAGTTTTTTGACAAGATACAAAATGAATCTATGGTTCAATATAGTAATTGATACTCTATCCAATTATGTCGAAATAAGAAATCTCCAAGATTTTGTATCAATACAGTGAATTGAACAAAACTATCAAAAATAACGTAATCAAGCTGTATATTTGAATAGATTTGAAAAGCTAATAAATCAACTTGATAAATAACATGTTATAGATCTCATGAAATTTTATTAATGTTCATTAAAATATAAAAATCACATGTACTTGTCTTACAATCAAGACAGGAAACAATATTCTTTTGACAATGATAAAAAAGAAACTATTTTATACTTGTTTAATTTCCGTACATTATAATTACATATGATCTGTCATATATATAGTTGAATTGTTTCTTAGATAGTTCTTTGTTTCATTATATATAGCCTAACGAATATCTGGAAAGAAAAAAAACCAAATGTGTTTTTTATCAAAAACAAAATTTTAAACTAGACAATTTTCCTAATAAGATCATTAACTAGATTTCATAAAATAGAATCTTATATAGGTTTTGTTTTATGCTATTGAAAAAAAATATTATACGCATCATTGTATTAGACTTTTTATTTCCAGATCTATTCATTTGAATGATTATATTATATGGCTTTTACTTTTAGATTCTTTCTCATGGAGTGCTGTTGGATTTTTAATATTTGTTGCTATAATCTTCATTATATCAGTTATATTAATACTTTATTTTGAAAAAGTTTGCTGTTTTGCACGATATCGATTTATAAAACATTTATTAAGACGAATTAATAGAACAAAAACATCTCAACCAACATCTAAACCTATTCAATCTATTGCAATGACATCTATAAATAAATTTGAAGATAAAAATCGAACTTCTTCACAACAAAATCCAGAATATCTTTGGATTGCTGGTCAATGTGAACATAGAACAACATTTCAACCATCAGCATTATTAGATACAAATGAATTTAGTAAGTAAATTACAATTGATGTTATAAATAAATTTTTATCATTGTTTTTTTTTACTTGGCTTCTTCTTCTTCATTTCTTAGTCAACACATCAAATTCGACATTACCTGAATATTTCCTCTCATGACTTATCCTGTTACGTTTTTTTTTCCTCTCTCTCCCTCTCTCTCTTCTTTATTTTCTTCTGTTTTAGTCTTAACCATTAAATTTGTGTTTTTCTACTGCTCAGTTTTTTTTTCTTTTCTTTACACATACTTTTAAATAATGATAAGTGACAAATGAGAGAAGAGAACATTTTCAGGTATAATTGTCTCTAGTTTTCTTCTCTTTTGTCTTCATAAAATTTTTATAATTTTTCCCTCTTTTTGAACTTATTTTCTATATATACGATGCATAAATAATGTTAAAATAGTAAGTCAATATCACTTTCTCTTTCATCATTTACTACACATGATTTTCTCTCTTGAGATCTTTAAGAATATTGTGAATTCTTTTGAGCATCAAGTTATTTTCTTATTTTTTATTAACTGAAAAGCAAAGTCTTTTTTCTGTCCATGTAACAGATTTAATTGAATGTATCTTTTCATTTCTGAAAACGTTAAATTATCTAAATATTTGACTATTTTCCTATTAAATTTAAGAAATAAATTAATTACAGTAAGTTTTTTTTTTTATTTAATTTTGCATATTTGAAAAGAAAGAAGAAGAACGACAATGAAGAGTTTTTTAGTTGATATATATCTTTTTTTTTTTTGTAGACATATTAATCAACAAATTTTACATATATTCGCGTGAGCGGATGTAAGAAACGCACCTATATAAAAGTGCTCGCATATTCATATCCCGATTAATACTTGTCAGGCATTTGTCTGCTTATTATAATTATTAACAAACATGTGTTATTATCCTTTTTTCCGTAAGATTATCATCATTGATGTCATAGATTTTGTTTGTGTTTGTCTTCTGTGTATATAAGAGAAGTAGATTGAACATTGAAATCCATCAGGGAAATTAGCTTCTTATATTTTTTTTTGCTTGTTTTGTTTTACACTTCTATTCTATATTGTTGATATTGAAATTAAACTTGTCTTTGTTCTATTTATTAATATATACAACATTCATAATTAATGATTATTCTTGGTTTTCCTTTTTCTATCTAATAGGTACAGATTTACCAGATGATGATTATACAACATTAGTACCACCAATAAAACAAATAAATAATAGTGAACGAAAATTACCAGCAATACCAATAATTATTGAACATAAAGAAAATGATTCATCAACAAAAAAGGGTATATTTTAATAAGAGAAAATTTTACTAAGATATATCTTGAATTTTTTTTTAGTTAAAAGATTAAATTCAAAATCTAATTATCAACAAAATACAACAATAACTCGAGTATCAAGACGACAATCAAGTGTTGATCCGGATTCAATTGGATATATACATTCAGCTCCATCATCACCTGCTCTATTATATAGTGCTAAACGAAGATCAAATCATAATCATAGTCTTAAGGATCAATTTAATGTTGTAAGGATGAAGAAATATGATTGTCATTTTCGAATTGATTAAATAATTTGGCTTTTTCTGAAAGCAGAACTTTAATAATCAAATATTTTAATTCTTAAGGAATTTTCTTTATTAAATGCAATCTCATATTAAAGATTTTTAAAAGATATCTAAATTATTATTACTATTATTATTGTTTTTTTTTCGAATAGGATAGAAAATCTATATCAAATGATCCTAGTCCAGTATTATCAAATGTTCCGAGTAGTAGTTTTAAATCAGGTGCACTTGAAATTCGATTAAAATTTGACGCTAAAAATAGCAAAATGTGGGTATTTATTATAAAAGCAACATTAGAAATTGATCAATGTGTATTAAAACAAACACTTGTTCAAATACATCTAACTATGTTACCTAATAAACGTATTCGTTTTCGTACACAAGCTAAACCTGCTGATAATGCTATGTTTGCAGAAGAATTTTTCTGTAAAGTAGCACCAGGTTAGTTTTATTAAATTAAAATATGTATGTATATATTAAAAAATTTTGTTTTTTTTTTCTCTTTTTATTCTATTGATTAGAATCAATTCAAACACAAGGTATTCGTTTTCGATTATATATAAATAAACGATTTAAACGTGAAAAACTTGTTGCTGAAGCAACAGTTATGTTCGGTTTAATTAATCTTGATGAAGATATGTGTAAAATGATTACATTAGAACCAGTATATGTAAATATATTTTTGTGTTTAATAAATTTTTTTAATTTTTTTAATCTATTTTTTTAGTCATCTGATGATTCAGAATTAGCTAGTAGTCATTCACATACAAGTAGTAATTCACAATCAAGACAAGATTCATTAATTCCCAGTGGAGAACCTATGAGTTCTCTTTTACCAGAACTTGAAATTGGTTTAGCTTATGATAAAAATCAATCGATTCTCATTTTTGAAATAGGAAAAGGAATTAATTTTGGTATGACATCACAAGGACGAGCTCCAGGTATCTACATATGTTTTTCATGAATTGATTATTTAATAATTTGTTTTCGGTTTTTTTTAAGATACATATGTTCAATTAACACTTCTAAATTCTTCTGGAGAAGAAATGGCATCAAATCGAACAGTTACTCGTCGTCATCAACATCATCCTGTATTTGCTGAACGTTATCCATTTAATATTGAAGAAAATCTGCTCAATCAAATAACAATTGTGGTTACAATTATTAATAAAAAACCAACAGGAAAATATGATCGTAGTCTTGGTTGGATATCATTTGGTATCGTCGTTTATTGTTTTTCTTTTCTTATATATTATCAATTAATCAATTATTGAAATTTTATTTATATTTAGGTCATGGGGTTAGTGGTAACTCTCAAGTAGCTCATTGGGATTCAATGCTCAATGCACACGGTGAAACTATAACACGATGGCATACTTTATTAGAAAGTTGAATATTTATGTTGTAATAATAAATTTTTGTCATTGTCAAAACTTTATAATATACATATATATACATGTGGCTTATATGACCTTGTTCTTCTCATTAGTGGACTTGATTACTATATTGTTCAATTGCAATGTCTCCTTCATAGTTTTTAAATGAATAATAAGATGTGCAATTAATTGATTTAATTTTTCATTTGAAATATACGTTTTTGTTTTTGAAAAAGGTAGCAAAAATTTATTTGTTTTATTTTACATAAGTTTTACTAAATGATTCTGTCTATTAGTTTTTAAGCACTTTTCGAATGTTATGAATCAATGCATATATTGAAAAACTTTAATTTAAAAAAAAAAAGAAGATATTCGTGCTTTGTAATATATGAACTTTTTAGAAGAGTATTAAAATATAGAAGAGTAGTAAATGATGACCTTGATTCTTCTTCTTCTTTTCTTATGTTAATAAAAGAGTGTCAAGTCTTTTTTTTTCCTGTCTTTTGAATCATGTTTGATATTTAAGTATATAAAAATAGTAAGCTTTTGTTTGAAATTAGTGTCTTGAAAAATAATTTAAATCAAAATCTATTGAGAGATAAGATAGAAGTTTATTTACTTTATTCTTAAAATACAAAAAGAAATCCTTGAAAATAAACAATCAGCTGTTTTTTTTTTTGAAATTTTAATCGTTACTTCCATATCTCATTAAAAAATGAAACAAATTATTTTTTTATTAAAATAGTTGGCATTAGTGCATTATTAATAATCATCTTTTTTAAATAATAAACAATTATTTACTGATTTATAAATTAAAAATGTAACGAATTGTTATAATTTGATTTGACTTATTAATACTATTCGCTTCTTATTATCAGGCATGCGTCAAACAGTTTGGGTCGGTTTTGTCTAATTAAATATAATTCTCATAATTACGGAATTACGTCGTTGTAAAATTTCTTCACAAATATAAATCTGAAGCGAGAAGATTTCACTACAAGATGTAACTAGCAAAAGTTGCATGTCATCAATCATTTAGGTTCTGAAACAATCACAAAAAGCCAAACTCATAAGCTGCATAATTTTATTAGATTGTTCTTCATTCGCTCTTTAATAGTAAACTTCTTTATATGTTTATGGTGCATCAGACTATCAAAGTAGCTAATTTAGTGAAAGAAAAACTCAAAAAAAAAATCTTTTTATCATGTCAATGAGTTTAGATGCATGTCTACTTATTATGCATTTTATTTATGGAAGAAACTAATTCAGAAAGTTTTTATAATTAAAGATATGAATACTTTAATCCATTTATGATTGACGAGCAGTGTTTTGCCCAGATTTTCTCTTCCTGGAGAACCGACTAAAGCTTCCTTAGAATGAGCACTTATTTTTGAAAATACAAACACATAATATGTAGTACAATAATCGCATAACCCGGAAGGGTCAATCCAATTTTTGTAGAGGT